TTTGTAAATTCTTTTTTTTCCCCACACAAATTTCATTTTTCCTGAAAAGTACTGACTTTGAATTTGCTCTATTGGACTATTTTGTATACTTAGTAAACTACTTCAATAACAGCAATCACCACAAACACTCTGTTATTTTCTGGGTAAGATGGTGTTCCCTTTCTGAACACTGCTACTACTTCTTTTGTCAAGAAAAATTGTTTTTTCCCTTTTGTGTGAGAAAATGTAAGTAGAAAAATGTACTCTCATTTATTCACATACACAGACACACACTTACACATTCAAGCATATACACTTTCCCATGCATTCACACACATGTGCATAGCCAAAGGTGTCAAAAGCCTCAGGCAAAAAGAGAATCCAAAAAGAGAATTCAAGACAATTCTTTCCATGGTAGCTAAGGATCATTATAGTATCATTTACTACCAATCCTCACTTCACCCCTGATCATTTTCATGGAGAATTCCAGAAATTAGCTAAAAACAGGATGCCACCTAGATCTTAGGAACTGCCAAAATCTAAACATCAAAGTAATCAGGGTACAGGGGAGAAATATGTATGCAGCTAAAGACAGCAGCAGTCTGTTGGTCCTGCATGAGGGCATTTCTACCACTACCCTATATTTAGGAAGTGAGCAGATGTCTTACATTCATCCAAGGCTGTTTAGGAATTAATCAGTGAAATGGTCTCACTTACCCTATATCATTATACCACAAACTAGAGGGAGTAGCTCCCAACATGGTCTTCCACAGTAAGAAACATATCAGGATCTCTGTCCAAGAGCACCTCATGAGGCTGAATGTATACCAGTCTATGGAGCAGACATGCATCACAGGGTCCTGCGGGAGCTGGCTGATGTGGTTGCTAAACCACTCTCCATCATATTTGAAAAGGCATGGCTGCCAGGTAAAGTCCTCAGTGAGTGGAAAAGGGAAATATCACTCCCATTTTCAAGAAAGAGTGAAAGGAAGACCCAGGGACCTACAGGTCAGTGAGCCTCACCTCTGTGCATGGGGATCATGGAACAAATACTTCTGGAAGAGATGTTAAAGCACACGAGATGAAGAGGTGATCCAAGACAGCAAGCATGGTTTCACAAAGAGCAGATTACCTGACCAGACTGGTGGCCTTCTATAATGGAGTCACAGCCCTGGTGGATAAAGGAAGGACCACCGATATCATTTATCTGGACTTGTGCAAGGCCACTGACATGGTCCTGAACCAGTCCTTATCTCTAAATTGAAGACATGTCAAATATTTTGAAGGCTGGACTAATTGGTGGATAAAGAATTGATTGGTGACTGTAGCCAGAGGGTTTTGGTCAATGGATCTATGTGCAGGTGGAGGCAGATCATGGGTGGTGTCCTGCAGGGTTCTATCTTGGGAATGGTTCTTTTCAACATCTTAATCAATGGCATAGACAGTGGGATTGAGTGTACTCAGTAAGTTTGCGGATGACACCAAACTGAGAGGTGCAGTTGACAGAATAGAAAACTTGAAATCTGGGCCCAAGTGAACCTAATGAGATTCAACAAGTCCAAGTACAAGGTGTTACACTTCAGCTGGGACAATCCCAGATACATCTACAGACTGGAAGAAAATCTAATTGAGAGCAGTCCTGCAGAATTTTTTATCTTGAACATGAGCCAGCAGTGTGTGCTTGCAGCCCAGAAAGCCAACAGTATCTTCAGTTTTCATCAAAAGAAGGGCGGCAGACAGCAGGGTGAGGGAGGGAATTGTCCCCCTCTAGTCTTCCCTAATAAGATCCCATCTAGAGGACTGCATCCAGGCATGGGGACTCCAGCACAAGAAAGATGTGCAGCTGCTGGAGTGAGTCCAGGGGAGGGGCATTTTAGGTTAGCTATTAGAAATAATTCTTTTACTCAGAGGATGGTAAAGTGCTGGAACAGTCTACCCAGAGAAGCTGTGGATACCCCATCTTTGAAGGCATTCAAGACTAGGTTGGACGGGGTCCTGGGAAGGCTGATCTGATGAAAGGTGCCTCTGTCCTTGGCAGGCGAGTTGGAACCAGATGTTCTGTAAGGTCCTTTCCAACTTTAGCCATTCTATAATTCTATGACTATGAATCTATGATTCTTGCAACATATCAATTTCAGAAATGAAGTAATGGGGAAAACAAAAATCAGTTCTCTTATAAGCTCCTGAAAAGTTCTCAGTGTTTCCTCCTCTGTGCTTCAGTAGCTGCAATTTTTTCTCACTGCACCTCCTTGCAGCTCTCCCTTGTACTGAGCCAATGCTATGAAGGCTCCCAAGCCAGAAGCTTTTAAGATTTTTCCACTGTATGTTACAAATTGATCATTACGGTCTATGAGTCAAACTGAGTTTACTTTTTAAACAAACAATATGTCAATAAGAAGAATGGACTAATGTTAACTTCTATTACCATAGACGTGCCTCGAGATGAAGAGTGTTTGATCTATTACTACTTCTTCAGGGCAACTTTCTTTAGCAAGAAAGGCTTGTATCACTGTGTTCTCTGTATCCTCTGTTTCTGTTCTGTCTATGTTCCTTTTGTTTTAGAGGCTTTTCAGATAAACTAATATAGTGATCAAAAGCAGTGAACTGAGTTCAGGCTGGGCTTAGATAATAAATCTAGAGTATCTTGGAAGTGAAATTACCCAGCTAGAATCTATCCTTTGAGGTTAAATTTCACAACAGGTAGGTAGGTGAAGGTTATGTTATTTTAGCCACAGTACAGCTTGACCTAAGTAATTATTTTAAAATATAGTAACATTTTATGTCTGCTTTGTTGAAAGTCAGCTGATTCTGTTTACACTCACCAGAAACTAATGTGCTCTCCATGTTCTGGTAATTAACACAAACAGACAAATACAAACAAAACACTCTGGTCAGTGAAAGTCATCTGTGCCAGTCAGGTTGTACTCATCCTGTGAAAGTCTTACATGCACTCAGATACGTGACATGGCAAACACAAAACCACACAAAAGGTGAATGCAAAATAACTCATTTCCATTTCATTAAATTCCTCTTTCAGAGTTGAACTGAAAATAACAATCTTTCCTTAACCAATAGCAGGTATAGAGCAGTGGTCATTGGCTGTACCTACACAAGAACACCAATACATCTAATTTCAACTTACAGCAAAATGCTGTTATCAATAATAATAATAATTGTCATGCCAATGCTTCAAAGGAGGAGAAGCTAAACATTACCCTTCTCTATCCTCTTACTTCCTTTGAAGTTCCTTTGAGTAGTCCCACTCTTGTGAATGTTAAAAGGTCGCTGAGCAATGTCTGCACTCCTCCTCACCTAGAGAGAAGCTAGGCAACCTCTTATGGACACTGGTAGTTCTCTCTGTTATGGCACAGAAATTGCTGTCTGTCACAGAGGTTTCTTACTCTATCATTTGGTGCAAGAATGGCCATTCTCCTAGGTTGGGTTGCCAGTATTCTGTAAGGCCACTCTAACGGGTCCTCTCCTAGTCAGACAGTAATGAACTGGAATGCATTCACTGAAGAATGTCTCATTGTTTATACCTTTGTAATCTCTCTGTAGTAAACTGCGCCTAAAGGACAGATGAATACAAAGGAAACCTGAAGAAGTCCCAGACTCCCAACTGCATCAAAGAGATCATGGAGACTGCAGAGGTGGGTGGCTCCCCTGCTGTTTTTGCACCAGCACTTGTGGGCTTTTAATATTGGAAGCAACATATTTCACCCATGTCATCACTTAACAATATAATATGACAGCATCTATAGAACCGATTAGCATAAATCAACATAATACCCACTTCGTAGCATTAATATTGAAAACTTTCATCTTCAAATAGTGGTGGAGGGGACAATATATGACAAATTGTAATGATTTTGCTGAAGTGTTCTCATACAACATAGTATGTATAGATAGTATATGCATGAATCTGTATACACATGCATATATACTTTAATACTGTGCAAAGTACTGTAGCTATGCCAATAGAATTATGCATTCCCCTAACAATAACAAGTCATTTTTTCTGTACTATTTTCTTAGACTTAAAGAAAAGACAAATTTCCAGGACGTACCATATGGAGAGGGGTGGAAAGAAAGGAGGATGTATTCATTTTGATTTCAAAGCACATCAGTATGTCTTTCAGTGCCCAAAGGGTCATCGTGCATAGAGTCACGTAAATAGAGGCTGCTTAAAAAAATAACTCGAGGTCACTCAGAGTCAGACCTCTAGGTTTGAATTACAGATAAACACATTTCAAAGAGCAAACTTTGGAAATAAGGTACAGGGGAGAACAACCTTACATGGCACTTCCATCAATTTTGATAAAGCAGTTTCAATTTTCAGTGTAATAATTCAAAGGTCTTGTGGCTTTCTGACAAGACTGAGCTCTCCTCCCCTCCTCCTCACTCTCTGTTCTTTTCTGTAGTGCTCTATTCATACTCCAACATTACTTGTTTGAAACATGAATGCTTTATCATATCTATCTGTATCTTCAAGAGCTCTTCCAAATTCTACACTTTACACAGAATTTTCAAAAACAAGAGATCTGCTTGGAGTTTAGATGGCAAGTTCATTTGGAGAAAGGAGGCAAAGTACAAATAAATAAAAAGTACTGTGCAGTGCATGACAGCAATCCTCCTGCATTAAGAGAAATACTTTGTACTCTCCAGCAGATGAGGCTGGGAAAATTCCTTCTTTTCTTCACGAATGAAAATGATAGAAAAATTTAAGAAGATTCTCAAGTGCAGTATCTTCTTCACTCTCCTTTCTACTTTCCCAAGAGGCTACCCATTGCCCAGCACCTGGGGAAGTAGAAAACTTACCTTCGGCCTTCCTTGCTATCATACGGCATAGTATCTCTGCACTCCCCCTTTTGATCACAACAATCTTTTTCTTTAAAAATGGTCATAACCTGGCTAGAGCATTGATTTGGTTCATTATAGTATTTATGAAATTATAAAAATTTAGTATGTTCATACCTAAAAGCATAGACAGGTTCTATTTATGTTGACCTAAAAGACTTCTGAGCTCACAGTTGCATCTCTTTCATAGTGTCGGCCTATTCCTGTTTTCTGGAAGCAGAATATGAACTCGCTGATTCCAAGAGCAAAACATGCACGTTTTCCTCTTTACCTGAAGGAATTCAAGTCCATTGCTTCCCACTGAACAGTGTCACTCCTTTCTTGCTGCTTCTCAGTGATCTCATTGGATTTCCAAGCTGATGAAAATAAGCAATGATGACATACCTCCACACACCACTGCAGTGATCTTTCCAAGCCATTTCAGCTACTATTTCAGCAAGCATTGAGAATGTGTAGTACTGTTCTGAAATGAGTCTCTGTTCACAAGCTTTCTTTGGACAATTTGGTGAAACCTGCCCTGAAAACACTGACAGTTTTGTCTGAGACCAGGAGGATTACGGTATATGTGGTACTCCAACAATAACACCAAACTGAGAAGTATTATTAAGGGCCAGTTTAACTTTTGAACATATCGTATAACACATTGCAAAAGTAGCACAAGGTCAAGGAAAACATTCATTATTTAATTTGACTTTGAGCCAGCGTGGGGGTGATGTTGAAGACCACACTTCTAACCTTGAATGGAACTTCGTTTATGCAGTTCTTCCAACTTCATCTAAACTTTCCATTCTCTTTACCTTTCTCTGTTTCTTTCTTAGCAAACACACTACTGTCTTGGAGGATCCTCCCTTCTCCCTTGCTTTCTTTCTTTGGCAGTCAGATGAGGAACACTCTTAAGTCCTTTGTAAACCACATTCTGAGTCCATTTCAGCTGCATCTAAGCAACTCCATGAAAGTGAAAGTAGCAGCAACAATATGTCAGAACCTGATCTTACAAATCAGTGTCACTGTCACCCGAACTCTTCCTTCCAAATAGCATTGCCCCTCCATTCTTGCTCAATAAAAATGTGATTTTACATCAAAGGTAACCACGACAGCATCATGACAGACATATTTGTTTAGTAGGTGGGTTAAAGCAGTTCTTCAGTTCTGAATGCCAATTAATGTTACTACCCACAGACTCTTAAAAAAATCACTATTTCAGTCATTAAAAAGGTACATCCGAATGCAAGATTTGCTAAGCCTGAGTGCATGTAATCAATAATTTACATATTACTGGATAACAAGTAAAGAAAACAAAGATAAGAGCTTCAGTTTCAGGATACATGTAGCTGTCCTATGAAAGTAAATATATTAAACATTGCTCCTATATTTTATGTCTCTGTATAAGTATCAGAATAGGTTTATATGTTGAAAATAGAATGTGCCAATTCTAAAATCTCCAGTCAAGACACTTCAAGTTATCCAGATTAATCTCCCAGCTAACAGCATTCTGCAGACAATTGCTCTCCAGCTCAAATCTTTCCAGTGATTATGGTAAAAAATCATCCAGGATATGCAGGCCTGCCAAAACAAAAGGCAAAACAAAATAAACAGAGAATAGAGGCAAGGGGACTCATCATAGGAAGTAGGTGCGAATGGCCTCTGTTGTAGATTAAAGAGAATTTAGATGAAGTAATTTACCTTTTTGGAGTATCCTGGGGTTGGGTTCTTATTCTGCTTTCCTTGGTACTTTGGGCATCTGTTTCCCTACTTTTACCTGAACAACATTCTTAGCAGAAGATCTTGGATCTCTCTCCTTTCTGGATAAAAAGGTCGGTATGAAGAAAGGTAGTTTTGCATTCTGTGTTGAAAAGATCACATACCTTTGACACCAGAGGTTAGATTGCATTCAAAGAGGGGCCTCATTGGAAAACCAGATAAAAAAAGCAAAGTCTTCACAAGGCTTGAAGTACACTTGAACTGAAAATTCTTGACGGATCTTTACCAGTACCAAAACCACTGCCACTTGGCAGTGTGATCCACTCATTGGCCTCCTCCCAGCCATAGTAAACTGGAGTTTCTGTAACCCCAACGACCGAATGGAACTCAAAAGTGGTTTTATTAAGCATTTATGTGAAATGCTCTGTGACTTTCCTCAGGCTCCCCCTTAAGACCAAGAGGAAGCTGGGGTTCCAGTTTTTTTTCCAGAACTTTTTTTTTTTTCCCCATAAAATCTGGTAGTGATAAAAACTTAGTGGAAAAGGAGTGAAAGGAACCGAGGAGCTTCTCCTCTTTCCTGCCTTGCACCTTGGTAACGATTTTCTTTGAGGTGTGTTTCTTGGACAATACGCAAAGCAAGTCTGAATTAGCCTTTACAGCCTTATTCTTCTGTTGTCCAGAAATCATTTTCTTTCAAGCAATTTTACACAGATGGCGTAAATAAAACCGTGGCAGAATTTTATGAGCTTCAGTGGATCCATGCTTTCATTCAAAACAATGTACACCCCAATCCAAAAAGCTTCTGATCCTGAAGGACAAGACCAGTACAAATCATAAACAATGAAAATTCCTAGAGTCCTTCTTAATAGCACCCCGACACTCCATGATAAAGCAAAGCCAAATGTGCATCCAGAGGTAATTTAGCTGAAGAGATCATCTTTTAATTTTCCCAACAGTTTTGAAACTTCTGTTTCAAATGACAGCATAACAAAGATCACCTGTGCATCACCTGTGTGAGTCTATTTTTGGATTGGTTCTTTCACGTGAGGAATTCAAATGTTTTTTAACCTCCATAGATGCTGTCTGGCACAATGGGAATATAGAATATGAGAGCTCTGTATGATGGAGGTGCAATGTAACTAAGGGAGAGGTAGCTGATCTGAGTAAGAATCAGGTCACCTCTTAGGGACCCTCTGTAGGGCACACTGACTCACTGCCAGGCTGCAGTGCCAAGCACTGTAGTTATTCCAGGGGAGACTCCTGAATAGCTTTTACCCAAACCTAAGCTAAGAAAAAGAGCAACAGAGAAAAACAATAGAATAAAAAAATAGGCAATGGTTTCCTTTAGACACTTCAGAGTGAATGCTTCTACTGATTGTCCCGTTGCGGTCTACGTTGCCTTGCTCTTTTTTTTTTCTTTCTTTCTTTTTTTAATGTTTCCAACGCTCCTTCTGCCTGGAGATTTATTTAAGGTTGTTGGCTTGGAGCCCCTGGGTGGATTCCCAGTCCCCTGGGTGGATTCCCGGTCCTTTTGCATCTCTTTATTACCAAGAGTGGCCTGCTGTCTTGCCAGGCCCTTAAAGTGTCCATCTGCCCTGTTACTGTTGGCCACATTGGATGCTAATAATTCAGCCCCCCAAAATTATCCGGGCTTATGTCCCACTCCTAAATTCTAGCAAAAGCTGTCCTCTTTACAGAGAAAGAAAAATACCTCTTTTAAACCCTAAGTTGTCCCTCCATAACATTTATACACAGAGTGCATTACTGCTATTATATTCTGAAATAGTTATTTCACAAAAAAAAATACATATATATCTTTTTTATAAGTGCTTTACTCCCCACTTATTTTTTCCCCCTTTATGCTGCATATACCAACAGGGGCCAACTTTATTTCAGTGCTGACTTGGATTTTGATGAATATGCTTCTGTTTCATTTATTCTTTATTTGTGCAAAAGCTAGACAGTATTTTTTATATTGTTTCACACTTCCTTTTTGATTAAACTGTTATATTTGATTTTCCAGATATAAAGCAGAGCAGAGATATAGAGAGAAAAAAAAAAAAAAACACAACAAACATCATCTTTGATTCTCTACTGATTCACACACAGCTCTGTAGGCTTTGACCCAGAAGCCCACCTAGCACTGGAAATAAGTGTTCGAAATGAGCCAGCAGAGAGCAAGCTGTTCAGGATGTGACTACCAAGGCACTAACCATGGGAGAATAAGAAGTCATTTTTCACCTAAAATTAACAAAACTACTCAAACTAAAACACTATAACTTCTAACTTAGTAACAGACAACTCAAGTCAGTCCTTTGAAATTTAAATGATAGAAACAGAGATATCAAAGACCGTTGAAACTTAACTGTCATTATTTGGCATAGAAAAAAGAACTCCACTCCATACCATTAGGGTGGATAGGCTGTATACCTGCTCTTTTCACTGTACATGTATTTCTTTTTGGCTGGGGATTTCTCATTCTTTGTTTCTGGTTAGATGGCAAATATTGCCACCTGTGATACTTAGGGTGTGTAGGTAAAAACCACCCTTCTTGCTGTGTGCCTATAACAGCTATGTAGCAGTAAATTTGGTGTATGGGTTCACCAGTGCCATTTGAAATACACATTTCAGTGAAGGAAATTCACGTTTCACGAGGGAAAGAAATTTACTGTTGCTTATTTGAGCAAGTCCATGGGATGTGGTTGAAACACCCAGGGAAAGAGAACCAGGCAACCTTGAAAAGTGAACACAGTCCTACAGCCCTTCACCCACATCCATCCACTCCAGCCTGTACCCTCTGCAGTGAGGGGGGATGGCTTTGGCAGGCTGCTAGTACTCAGAATGCTAACTTTCAGTTAGAAAGCAAAAACATAAATTCTTGCAGAATGGCCAGAGGAAAAGAAAAAGCAGACAGTGAATGTTGGTTTTTGTTTTTGTTTTTGTTTTTTTTTCTAGAGCAGAAAGCTTTAGGCCAGGTCAGCTGGTCACAGCATGTTCTTAACTACAGCAGCTCTCCCCTCTCTTTGCCTGCATCGATCCAGAAAGGAGCCCCACTGCCATTCAGACCACAGAAGAGGTGAGATGAACAGGGCCACTCGTTTGCAGGGTGGCTGCCTCAAGCACAAAATGGGACCCCAGTTTGCTCCATATTGCAGACACAGCCAAGGCACAGCCATGGGCTCTTTGCTGCTGGAGCGCCTCAATGGGAGCTATGCTGAGCATGAGCCAGGAGGCAGAGGTTGTGCCCTGAAGATCTCTGTGTAACCCGGAGAGTTGTAGCAAAGTGCAGAAATCATGGCTAAGAAGGAGGTAGAGAAATCCTTGCAGCCCCAGAGAAGCACAGGAGCCAGCAACAAAGCTCAGTCTCCCTCAACTACCCCTTACAATGTCAGTTTCTATCACTTTTAAGCTAATTCTGCCTTTTTGAAGAACCAGAAGTGGCATTTGTGCCTTGGATGATCCTGTGAAAGGCCTCCAGGCTGTGAAGCTATCAGCTATCATCAATTATGTTTATTTCCCTTCAGCTCCCTCACAGTTCCCGTGTCCTAGGGCCACCAGCCTGCTCACTTTGCAGACAAACAGCCTAAACTGTGCCACTCAGCTGCCTGCTGGTGGGGCAGCCTGCCACTCAGACAGAGCAGTCACCAGGACCTTACAATAGGAAGCAATGGCCAATTTATTTATTTGCTCAATAAGAGAACAGAGCAGTAGACAAAGTGCAGAACTGGAGTGGAGAAGGCCAAGTATCCTCTCATGCTCCAGTGTGCTCCAGACCAGATTTCTATTTTCTGGCCCCCAATGGATAGTTCACCGGCAAATGGCTGTTAACAGACATATGTGCATTGCCCCAGTGCTCCTGCAGAATTAGCAAACAGAACAACTCTGATGTTAATAATGCTGCTGCTGCTATGTCTGAACACTGTTTTGGCAAGGCATCATCTCCTTTTTGGTGGATGGGATTTCAGCTTGCAAATGTAGGAATAACTGAAATGTGTATTTCCAAGATTAGTGTAGACAGAGTGGGGGTTTCTCTGAGACTGCCACTAAACACTGAGGCAGTCAATAGCAAGACATTCTTGAACAGTGATTTCTAGGAATCTGATTTCACCCATAGATTCATAGGAAGATCTAATGCTACCATGGGGACAATAAAGCATTTACAACCTGTCTTGTAAGCCTACAAGACAGTTGTAGATTAAGTCATGAAGAAGTCAGCTATCCAGCCACTGTGTGCAGCTTTCTAAAAGGCAGTGACATGCATTTAGTGGTCATTCAAAAATGGAAAAGTCAAGAGAAAACATTTTTGCACTAGCTTTCATGGCTATTGCTAACCACTTTCCTTGTGAAGGGAGCAGTGTTTATGGGACAAGTGTGTGGAAAAGAAGGTTTAAATAGCAGTGTCAAAGGGTAATTGGCACAAAAGAGATTTCTACATTTGGAACAAGAGGAATTAAGTTTTCTTAAGCACGTTGGGACCACAGAGGGCTTGTTGTTGATAGACCCACAAGTAGTAATATTACCAGGTTCACACTGAAGGTCAGAGCATGCAGTGAGACAACAGTTCCTTAGTGCAATGAGAGCAGGGTCATGACTCCTGCGTGCAACTGATTGATCCTCAGAGTTCAGGTCTGTGAGACACATGGGGGAAAAAGTGTGTAATTCACAGCATTCATTTACACTTGGCTTTGAAAGGTTTCTATTGAGGCAATTATCACCTTGGATTTTTTTGTTTTTAGTTACTGTTTGAAAGACAGTGGAAGGACTTGAAATTATGCACGTTCCTCAGGATTTTATCAGCAGAAAGCGTTAGTGCACAGGTAACATGCAAGGGAAGATTTTGAAGCTGTTGGTAGCTTTCCTCC